TGTATGAAGCTATAGAATTCCTTTATTCTTTTAAGGTAAATGAATGCTTATGTATTCGTCCGTTAGTAGCGTGAAGCTTTGAACACTCTTTGTACGGCAGATTCGGCACAATGTTTTGCCTCATTGCGATGTTGCCTGAAATTTTGAACAGAAGGGATCACTGCTCATGCTGGTGCAGCAAGACATGTAAGGAGATGGCCTCGTCACAATCCAGCAGTCATATATCGACAATCTCAAGCTATGACAACTTGTTACATGTGTCTGTAATAAAAAAAGGACTTTGCGATGGTGTGGGGAGCTCTTTGAGTGGTGGGACTGTGGAAATCCAGTTTGTTTCGCCCGTAACAAGTTTGTTACGGGCGAAACAACGTCCCTCTGAAACGTTTGGATATGCCTTTGCAACACATTTCCTCAATTTCATGAACTGCAAGTATTTTAATCCAACATCACCCCAATCTCAGTGTAAACTAGTCTCCAAATGTGCCTGCACAAGACTGTCACCCCTGTCACCCGGCATTCACATTGCCTTAACCTCCTCAAGCTTGTCGGGGTGTGACACGTGGGCATGAACCTTGTGACAATGGGCATTGTCACAAAGAAACTGGTTGCAATCAGAAATGCATTTTTGCTCATGCCAGGTTACCGACATCGGTTACCGATTACTGGGGACGGTTAACGGATAACGGTTCGCCCGGTAATCCTACCGACCGGTTACCCATCTCGTTAACTGGACCCGTTAGGTCGGAACCGGGCCGGAACCGGCCTGGAGTATGCCATTGGGCTGTCCCTGCACAAGCCCATGTGCCTGCCTCGGACCTGTTTGCCCGTCTGCATGCTGGATACCGTACTGATGCGTACTTCTCTGATCCCCGCAACACTGCTAAGCTAACCTGTGAGCACGGCATCTGGTACCGTCCTCTCCCTGAGTGCAAGCAGATTGTGGTCCCTAATGACGCCTGTGTCCGTCGGGAACTGTGCATGCTGTCAAAGTACCATGACGGTCCTCTGGCTGGGCATCCTGGCTGTAGTCGTCTGATTGAGCTGGTCTCCCGCGCCTTCTGGTGGCCCAGGCTAGCCGCCAACGCGGCCGACTATGTTTAGTCCTGTGATCTCTGTCAGCGCAACAAAGCACTGTCCGGTAAGACGCCTGGGTTTCTGCAGCCGCTGCCTGTACCGGCCAACCCCTGGGATAGCGTCTCTATGGACTTTGTTGTCGCACTCCCCAAAACTGAGGGGGGATACGACACAGTATTCGTTTTGATCGCCTGACGAAGATGGTGCATCTGGCGCCCACCACCACGTCCTGTACTGCTGAGCAAGCTGCACGCTTATTTCTGGATAACATGGTACGTTTGCACGGCGTTCCTAAGAACATTGTGTTCTTAGGAACACAATATCTGACCGTGATTCCAAGTTCACGAGCAAGTTCTGTGGTGTGCTTGGGGCTTTTCTGGATATGCGTGTGAATCTGTCCACGGCATATCATCCCCAATCTGATGGCCAAACTGAACACATGAACCGCACTCTGGGCGACATGCTACACAACTTTGCGGGTTGTAATCCTGATACCTGGGACACTCATCTGTCTGCTGCTGAATTCGCACTGAATAATGCAGTAAATCGCTCGACTGGCAAGAGTCCGTTCTGGCTGAACTATGGCTACCACCCTGCACTCCCTGTCTGGTGGGAGTTGGATGTCAATGCTCCTGCTGCCAAACGGTTTGCAAAGAGCTTTGAGTCCCGGCTGACTGATGCAAAAGCCTGTCTGGAGGCTGCGCAACAACGGGCTGCCGATTTCTATAACCGCGACAAGAAGCATGTCACCTTCTCGCCTGGGCACTTGGTGATGCTGAGTACGAAGAACCCGCGGAATCTGTCTCAGGGCTCTCGGAAAATGCTTCCGCGGTGGGTCGGACCGTATGCTGTCGTATGCATGGTTGGTACTGTTGCGGTCGAATTGCGGCTCCCTACTGATAAGCGCATTCACCCTACCTTCCACGTGTCTCTGATTCGCCCTTATCGTTCTCGGAATCCTGTTTCTGCGGATGGTATGGACACTGAACCTGATCCTGTTGCCTGGCTGTCTGATAAGCAACCTCTTTACCTGGTTGAACGCGTTCTGGTCTACTGTTGTCGCCGCGTTCGTTCTGGCAAGCGGTTCCGCTTAGTGCATGAGTGGCTTGAGAAATGGACTGGCTACTCATCTGAGCACAATTCCTGGGAACCCGCTCGCAACTTCACACTGGATCTGAAACCGGCCCTGGAAGAGGTTCGCTTGCAGGCTAAACGGGCAGAGGGGATGCTGTCACATTAGGGGGGATAGTTGTTGTATCATAGTGCATCTGTGCATATGATAAACACTATTCCTTACTGATCTGTATTGTTTGAGTGGTTTTGGGATCTGTCTCTCAACCCTCGAATAACTGCTGTTTCATAACTGCATTACGAACCTAAATATTGGGCTGCCAACATCTGTATCTGAACTGACTAAACTGTAATGCTGTTTACAGATAGGACATCTGGTCTTGGTGGCTGATTGGTCTGCCCTTCGGTTGCTGAGTTCAAAGAGATGCCTAACACCGTTGCCCCACTGACGTGATGAGAACATCCATAGTAAATGGGGCGTTCGGACATAGCTATGTCGGACATGCTATAGCAAAGCAGCACAACGCAGCAGGAAGCTTACCACTGTGGCATTGTACACCCATGTAAGCGTCATAGCCCCGCGGCACAGCGCCACCGTCGTTGTTGTAGTCCTACAACAACAACACACACAGACCGACATGGTGTAGCGAGGTTCATAGTTTACTTCAACTTAGGTAATCATGCACAGTGCATGCAGAGGGGGTGTTCTGTGTTCAGGCATGCCAAAGCCCCGCCGTTCTCCTCGCTTATCAATTAGCTCTACTATGGGAGGCCCCCAGAAATAAAACATTACATGCACAGTGTTGTATGCGTGGGCAAGCCATCGATTTTGTACGAGCATTTTATTTGGGTTAAAAGTCTCTTGCTGAAGATTAATCTCGGACAGGGCAGCGATATTCCTGAATGGAGGGAAAACGAAATGCCTGGACCATGATCACTTAGCAGATTCGCCTCTGACTTTACCAGGTTGACGGGAGCCGTCCGCTGGGAAACGGAGCACGCCACGCATGTCAGGTAGGGTTTATGAAACACGTTTTTCCCATTGAAGGCAACCACCGGCGCATAGCCCAGACAGCCGACACGCGCCATGAATAACCCCGCCCTTCAGCCCTTTACAATTTCGGGAAATTCGCCGTTTATCCCTACCCAAAGGTAGAAGTCCTGGTCTCGAGGGCAGTCCACCAAGCGGCTGTTCAGCGATTGGCAAGCGAACTGAACATTCCAGAGCACCATATTGGATGTTCCGCCATACATGGACCCCGCATTAGACACTAGATCGCCCCAAGTCCAGCCAAGCTGCCGGCAAGCGGCTGTAGCGATGCGCCAGTCCATGTATGTGCTGTTCATTACGCCCCACTTGCCGTCGTGGAAGATTTGCAGTGTGCCGCTACCTGGCCGGTTGCTGCCGACCAGCCGCAGGTCGCCCTCGTAAGCATCATCCGTCTCTGGCAGCATGTAGGTAATGGTAAGGGGAGGATAATCGTTACTGCCAAATAATGAGGGAGGTCACATATGCGCATCACCTCTTCGCATCACGATTACATCTGAGCAAGCCTTACTTCAAATAATCGTTATAAAATAAGTTTGGCAGATCCACAAACAGAATAAGATAGAACTCGAGACATACACAGGGTTTCCCTCATTCATCGCCGTGATCATCCCATTACGTTTTCCTCTCACGGTGAATTTGTAAAGGGCAGGGGAAACCCATAGCCTTTCCCCCCTCGCCCGCTTGCAAGCGACGGTGCTCAGGCTAAGCTACAGACTTTAGTCTGTACTTTAGTAGTAGTGCCGCCGGCGTGTGTGTGCTGCCGTATGGATGGCGAGGATGGAAACCTTTGGGGAAGCCAAGCATAGAACGACAGCTGCCAGTCAGCAATTAAAAAGCACTGAGCGATGGGGATGAGTTGCTGTCGCGGTGATGGACGGAGATAGCGTTTCTGTTTTCGTTTTAGGGGGCCCATTTTATTCCAAACCCATGATATCCAAAGTCAGGCTGATAAACTATTCCTTAAGCATGAGGCGCTGGGGGTATCCGGTCCCCCAGAACCCCGGATGAATTACAAAGTAACTTGCAAAGCCAGGCCATAAGGTCCATGCATGGACCTTTGGTGGTTCCTTGAGATGACAAACCTTTGGAGTAGCCACGTCCGCTCCAGTCAGATATGCGTGTAACGCTCCGTTGAATACCGGTTGGGGTCTTCAAGGCCCTTCTAGTCCATCCCCCGACGTTTGAGCAGACCTTTGGCAGGACGGAGACTTGCTTTCTGGCCCAAGAAATGAATGTATGCGGCCGGACGTAAATCCATTCCTTTTTACCAGGGCCGAAAGTGCCGTTTTATTTCTCTTAAGGAATATACTTATTAAACACAACTGGACGCAGAGCTCCATACTTGACAGGGACTAAAGCTCATGGTCAGCAGTACATTCACAAAGCCAGCAAGCACACCGTCCTTACAACATGCATGTGCAGCACCATGTCTGTCGGTTGCTCGGAAGTCTCGCTTGGTGGAGTTGGGATGGTAGCAGCAAGGGATGCATGCAAGGCAGGGCTAGCGCTATTAATGCACGTACGGTAAGGCGATGAGGATGGAGCAGCCGGACTAAACACGCAAGGCGGCTGTAGGGAATAAACATGGACAAGTGAGACCGGCACGAGAAGATGTACTAGGTAGGTTAGAAGCCGTTTTTGTTTAAGTGGTTGAAAACTGGCATACATGGCCTGCTCCCCCCGCTTCAAACGGGGTGAATCCACCCAGCACCATGATGTGCTCCTAGCAGATCTGTCGGGGCCACGCACATCCCTTTGCACGCTGAATTCATGTATTGGGACCGCACTTCCCCATAACTTGGGCAAATCAGGGTTCAGCTTCATCTTCTTCATCTCGTGTGTGATTATCTACGTCATTCAAGCTAGCAGATAGTTAGATTGTCCTTTATTCATGCAAGCGGCTGTGTAACATACACTGACCTACATCTATGCAAGATAGCACATAGCTACAATACCCGTACTTACCATTCCAACACCTTACAGCGGCTACACCGTAAGAGTAGATGTCCCACGAAAATATTTGATACGTCTGCAACTCTCGATCACAATCTATCAATTGGCTCTCAGAACCATTACATTTGTAAAATGTGGTGTACAGGGGGCCTTCAGCTGCCGTCCGATTGAAGATTCCACCAGGGATGTCCATAAGCTCCTCGCCAGTGTCCCAGCCCAGCATCCGACACACCACTCCCGCCTCGTACCAACTCCAACCGTACTGCTGCTGGTAGTAGTTCAGATGAGCGGGATAGATGCTGACCCATTGTCCGCCGTAAAGGACCTGGACGATTCCTTCATTGGCATCACTGCCACCGACGAGGCGAGCTTCCGAGTCCAAATCTGCATGTGCAATCAAATTTGCTTGTCCAGATACCAGGAGCCAGTAAAGGTACGTACAAGGGTGCCAGACGCATGTGTAAAAAATGAGAACGTCCATAGTAAATGGGGCGTTCGGACATAGCTATGTCGGACATGCTATAGCAAAGCAGCACAACGCAGCAGGAAGCTTACCACTGTGGCATTGTACACCCATGTAAGCGTCATAGCCCCGCGGCACAGCGCCACCGTCGTTGTTGTAGTCCTACAACAACAACACACACAGACCGACATGGTGTAGCGAGGTTCATAGTTTACTTCAACTTAGGTAATCATGCACAGTGCATGCAGAGGGGGTGTTCTGTGTTCAGGCATGCCAAAGCCCCGCCGTTCTCCTCGCTTATCAATTAGCTCTACTATGGGAGGCCCCCAGAAATAAAACATTACATGCACAGTGTTGTATGCGTGGGCAAGCCATCGATTTTGTACGAGCATTTTATTTGGGTTAAAAGTCTCTTGCTGAAGATTAATCTCGGACAGGGCAGCGATATTCCTGAATGGAGGGAAAACGAAATGCCTGGACCATGATCGCTTAGCAGATTCGCCTCTGACTTTACCAGGTTGACGGGAGCCGTCCGCTGGGAAACGGAGCACGCCACGCACGTCAGGTAGGGTTTATGAAACACGTTTTTCCCATTGAAGGCAACCATCGGCGCATAGCCCAGACAGCCGACACACGCCCTTCAGCCCTTTACAATTTCGGGAAATTCGCCGTTTATCCCTACCCAAAGGTAGAAGTCCTGGTCTCGAGGGCAGTCCACCAAGCGGCTGTTCAGCGATTGGCAAGCGAACTGAACATTCCAGAGCACCATATTGGATGTTCCGCCGTACATGGACCCCGCATTAGACACTAGATCGCCCCAAGTCCAGCCAAGCTGCCGGCAAGCGGCTGTAGCGATGCGCCAGTCCATGTATGTGCTGTTCATTACGCCCCACTTGCCGTCATGGAAGATTTGCAGTGTGCCGCTACCTGGCTGGTTGCTGCCGACCAGCCGCAGGTCGCCCTCGTAAGCATCATCCGTCTCTGGCAGCATATAGGTAATGGTAAGGGGAGGATAATCGTTACTGCCAAATAATGAGGGAGGTCACATATGCGCATCACCTCTTCGCATCACGATTACATCTGAGCAAGCCTTACTTCAAATAATCGTTATAAAATAAGTTTGGCAAATCCACAAACAGAATAAGATAGAACTCGAGACATACACAGGGTTTCCCTCATTCATCGCCGTGATCATCCCTATACGTATGAGACGCCTTTCATCACAGAAGGACATACCGCAGAGGGGGTTCCGGCTGACCCATGTGTGAATTATGCTGCTGCAGCTATCTGCAATCGTACTGAGCCTGTTCAGTTTGGGCGACGTGCAGCTGCTCGCATGCTCCGGAAGGGTGCACATGCTCTGTTAGTGCGTCCTAAACTGCAACTGAACGCAGCTGTTGACCCAACCCCTGACAAAGACCCAGAAATTGAAGCCCTGTTGGAGGAGTATGCCGATGTATTCCGTAAAATCCCTGGGCTTCCACCGATGCGACCTGTCGACCACACGATACCTTTGACACCTGGTGCTACACCGATTTCTCGGCCCATGTAACGTTGAGTCCCTTGGAACTCGATGAGGTATAACGTCAGATGACTGATCTTCTCAGCAAAGGTATGATCCGACCCAGCACGTCTCCTTACTCTGCTCATATTCTGTTTGTGAGCAAGAAGGACGGGACCTTGCGCATGTGCATTGACTATCGGGGTCTGAACTGGGTTACAGTTAAAAATCGCTATCCCCTGCCTCGTGTCGATGATCTGCTGGATAAACTGCGCGGTGCTGGTTACTTTAGCTCGATTGATCTACAGCAAGGGTACAATCAGATTCGTATTGCGGAATCCGACATTCCTAAAACGGCTTTTCGTACCCCTTTCGGTCATTATGAGTACATGTCCTGAGCTTCGGGCTGACGAACGCACCTGCGACTTTCCAAGCAGTTATGGATCGCATCTTCAGAAATTACATGGATAAGTTTGTCGTCTGCTATCTGGATGATCTGCTTGTCTTTTCCAAAACGCGTGAGGAGCATTTAGAGCATTTACGTCTGGTCTTAGAGGTCCTGCAGCGGGAGCAACTGTTTGCTAAACACGCTAAGTGCCACTGGGCACAGCCTCAGGTCGAATACCTTGGTCACATCGTTTCCAAGGATGGCGTCCGCATGGATCCACGCAAGACTGCTGCGGTGCGGAACTGGCCTACTCCGACCAACCTACACGACCTTCGTAGGTTTCTGGGGCTTGTGAACTACTTCAGAAAGTTCATTGAGCATTTTTCTGTCATTGCTGCACCTCTTGACTAATCTGACATGTAAAGGGGCTTTCTTTTCAACTGATGCCTGGACGTCTGAGTGCCAGCAGGCTTTTGATTCTTTGAAGTGCATTGTCTCTGACGACATCATTTTGCGATTCCCGGATTACTCACAGCCGTTTCGTGTTGAGGTTGTTACAGATGCATCCTTGCACGGCACGGGCGCTGTTCTGTTGCAGCAGGGGCGGCCAGTCGCCTTCACCAGTAAAAAGTTTTCCGGGGCTGAGACTCGCTACACAACTGGGGAACAGGAACTGCTAGCTGTTCTTCATGCGCTTAAAGAGTGGTGGTGCTATCTAGAGGGTCGCCCATTCACTCTTAAAACGGATCATAAACCCCTTACGTTTCTGCAAGGTGTGCCATCGCTGAATCACCGGCAGGCGCATTGGATGGAATTCCTGGCCCGGTTCGATTTCACGTGGGAATATCTGTCTGGTTCCCTTAACATCGCTGATGCACTCAGTCGGCACCCATCCCTGCATGCAGCCATTCTGTATGTTGCTACACGCCGATCCGCAGCTGCACAGCCGATTGTGCACTCGGTTTTCACTGAGCGCTTGAAGCAAGCCTACGCCACGGATCCTTGGTTTACTGATGCTAACAATACCGGCCATTTGTCTTTACAGCATCGTCTCTGGATCCGTTCTGAGGGGTCTTACAGGCAAATCGTCATTCCGAATTATGATTCTTTGCATCGTGAGCTTCTGTCTCGCTTCCCTGACGACCCATTGGCTGGGCATCCTGCCTGCACGCGGCTGGTCGAAATTCTTCGTCGGCAGTTCTGGTGGCCACGCATGGCTAAAGATGCGGAGAATTACGTTCTGTCCTGTGATCTGTGCCAGCGCAACAAGGCTCAATCTGGTAAGCCTCACGGGCTTCTGCAGCCTTTACCTGTTCCGAACGCTCCCTGGGAAAGCGTTTCCATGGATTTCATAGTTGCGCTGCCCAAAACAGAGGGGGGATTTGACGCTGTGCTAGTCATGGTTAACCGTCTGACTAAGATGGTACACTTGGCACCTTGCACGTCATCCTGCATGGCCGAGCAAACTGCACGTCTGTTTTTCGATAACGTAGTGCGTTTGCATGGCGTTCCCAAAAGCGTTATTACTGATCGCGGTTCACAGTTCGCGCGTACGTTTTGGGGCGCCCTGGGCCAGTTGGTAGGCATGCGGGTTAATCTGTCCACCGCCTACCACGCACAGACTGACGGCCAGACTGAGCGTACAAACCGTACCCTGGCTGACATGCTGCCTAATTATGCCGGTCGTACACCTGCTGTTTGGGATACCTATCTGACGGCTGCGGAATTTGCAATCAACAATGCTGCCAACCGTTCGACTGGGAAAAGTCCGTTTTTCCTTAACTATGGCTTTAACCCTGCTTTACCGATCTGGCGGGAACTGGACGTCAACGTGCCTGCTGTGAAGACGTTCGTTAAGTCATTTGTATCCTGTACGACTGATGCTAAAGCTTGCCTTGAAGCTGCGCAGCAACGGACGGCTGACTATTACAACAAGGCCAGGAGGGATGTCGCCTTCACCAAAGGGCAGTTGGTCATGCTCAGCACCAAGAATCTGCGCTCTTTGGCTGATGGTTCACGTAAGATGCTACCTCACTGGGTGGGTCCGTACTCTGTCGTAAACATGGTCGGTTCGGCTGCTGTAGAGCTGAAACTGCCTTCAGACATGCGCATCCATCACACGTTCCATGTGTCCTTGGTCCGTCCGTACCACAAAGCTGCTTCTGTTGCCACATCTGAGCCTGACACCACTCCGTCTGTTGTAGAGCCTGGTCCGGTCACTTGGCTATCTGGCAAGCAGACTTTTTATGCTGTTGAACGCATTCTGGATTATCGTGCACGCCGGGTAGGCAACGGCCGACGCAAGCACACTGTGCATGAATACCTGGTCACACACACACACACACACACACACACACACACCGGGTAGGCAACGGCCGACGCAAGCACACTGTGCATGAATACCTGGTCAAATGGGTCGGGTATTCATCTGAGCACAACTCCTGGGAACCTATACACAACTTTACCCCTGATATGAAACCCCTGCTGGAAGAGGCTAAGCAACAGGCCCAGGCCAAGGTAGGCTCGCGGGGCAGGTAATTGCTTTGTGTCCCGCATCCCTGGTGCCTGTCTGTGCTAAGTCTGCTCTTTCCATGCAGCGGGGACGCTGCATCCGGAGGGGGGAATAGTTGTTGTATCCTGGGTATTTTTCTGACTTTCTGGACATAGGTTTTTTTTCTGGTGCTAATCATGCTTGCCTGGTCCCTTTGGCAGTCGGTTGTCATTGTCATTGTTGTTGATTATTCACAGACTTCGCAGAAGCCGGCATGGGTGAAAGGTTAAGGGTGCCCCGAAACATGGGGGAAGGCAGGGACTGCCAAGCTAGTGGCCACGGGTGAAGCTAAACCCCCCTACTTCACACAACCATACGTATTGGTTGGTCGATACCCAAATACGTATGAGGTGATTGCATCCATCAATGCATTCGTGCACATCATCACATCCGATGTGATCCGATCGATCAGCAATATGCAGTCCCGTGCTTGGCCATCCCGCCCGTGCATAAGACACATATGCATGCAACTCAATTGATTGTCATTCAACTTCAGTGTTTGTTGTTATCACGCTTAGGTTGTCCAGATTCCTACAGTAAGCTTCACGTATGCTGCACACATGCATGCATGGCTAAGACACTGTGTGGCCAGTTTAAGCCAAGTTTAAGTCAGAACGTTCGTTCGCTGTACACATACAATTCATACCGGCAACATAATCCCAGTCCCAATATTAAAAATCCACCACACGCTCTTGCTTATTGAGACCAGTAGTACTGGAAGTTGGAAATGCCATTGGCAGCTGGGACGAATACATATGGGCGATCAGCATTTTTGTGCCCTCGGTGCCAGAGCCCCCTTTTGTTCGAAGGGTTACCAAGTAGCAGAAATTTGCAGACGGAGGCATGTCTCTGATCAGCAGTCCAGTTTGCACGGTCTGGCTTCGAAAACTCATGGGCCCGATCGGCAAGGATTGGTGCATGTTTGCCCCACGTGTATGGTTGGGCTTTGATCATTCACTGACAATAGATCCTTTCGGACGATCTGTTGGAATAGGATTTGACTTTTTTGATTTGACCACCAGCAAATCACCCTATTCATCATAAGTAAGTCCCAAATTGTTATACCTTATCTTGCTTCCCGCATGGCCAAGAGCAAACACATACATAGCAGGCGTGAAGGAAGTAAAGGAACTTACTGGTGACGGCAGCAAGTGTCGACATGTTGGAACTTGTTGTCTCCCCCAAAGAGCGCCGCAAGTGGTGGCTGCTGTCGTTTCCAGCAGCAGCAGCGGCCACTGCCAGCGATAAACCTGCTGCACATGCATGCAAAGTTTTATATGTATAATGTCGGTAAGCTTGCACGACGCGACCTTGTTGCTCTCGGAGTTGTTCTTAAACAAACTGCCTCAGCTACTTCGTGCCTACTGGATACTAGCATCGGCCTCAGTATTCGTGGCTATCCTTCCCATTCCTGTTCCGTGCGCGTTCAAGCAGGCTGAGTAATCCATCCCTACCACCTTGCAGTATTGCGTGGAGCAAGCACGTCTAAGCCTTGAAATAACGTTATGCTTGCTTGATGCCATGCATGACGCC